CCCCCCTCCCCGATAATAATAATAAAAATTTATTCAATTTTTATTACTGAGGAAGATTATAACTGTATCTACTATAGACAATGAATAAAGAACCCATAATAATTTATTTGTTTAAAAGTTAACTTTTATATATGAAAATCTCAGTCCCCCCTGGAGTGTCACAACTACAAATGTAGACTACAATCCATTACCGTCAAGGCACTAGTTTCTAATCAGTTAGGGAGCATTTCCAATGTTACCTTTAATATTTAAACGCAATAAAAGACAAAAATACAAACTTTTTTTTATTTTTAAACGATAGATCAACATTTAAACTTTAAATTGTATTGGAAAAATAATATATAATAACCGTAATATTAATTTAATAATTAGATAAAATCGCCGTAAGTCCAATCGTCATGGAACCAATTTCTGATCAGCCGTTTTCTGATCAGCTGTTGAATTTTTATGTCATGCCCTGTGTTGCGTGGTTATTCAGGTTAGGAAATCTATCACTGATATATATAGAGAGATAATAAATTAATATAATAATTTTCATAGAGGGTCCGGTATACCTTGGAAAAAGCTAATAAATCGTAATCTTAATTTGAGAATATAATTTCCATATTTTTTTAATATAATAGAATAATTGGAAATATAAAGTCGAAAACTAGATTCCTTATAATTAAATATAACAATAATAATTTATACGTCTGTTTAGGAGTCAGTGCAGTAAGACAAGCGCACACATTAAATTCTAAAGTATGCTTTACTATAGCTTAGAAGTTACAAATATATTTGAACGTTTCGGCCATTGGTTTTGGCCATCTTCAGCAAAAGTGTACAATATAAAAAAATCCTAGCTTCATTGGTTATTGTTCATCAGTTTACGTAATCCATATGGTAAGCACAATCATTCGCCTTTGAAGTTAATAAGCTTCCTAGTGATATGATTCTATTTTTTCCGTATAAAATTAAATGAGTGTTATAATAATTACATTAGATAAAAATAAGCAAGAAATTTTTTTAAAATAAATTGCGTTGGTTCTACTTCTTTCTTTTAGTATTCTCTCTTTTGGAATTTAATCAAACTGTATATTTAAACAAAAAATATTTCAATGATTATATTTTGAAAAATATGTAGCTGTCCAGATTTCTTAGCAAAAGATCGTGAGAATTCATTTCGCAGCGATAACTTATCTGTGCGGAACGAATATCCGTTTTCATAATACAAAGATAACTTGGATCAAATTTCGCATATCTTGTATTTTACAATTATTATACATCATCTGTAGTTAAACGATTTAAAGTAACGCGTCTTTTCTTTTTTAATCCAGCATCGTTAAGACAGAGCAGAAATTTTAAATGTTATATTTTCATAATTATTCTTTATATACAAATCGTAGTAATAAAAAAGCTTTAAAATAATTTGAAAATTTTATTGATATGATTTGGTCAAAACTTAATTTAAAACGTTAAAAAAATTTTATATTACTTAAATATTAGCTAGAAATTTGTAAACTTCTTTCTTTGTTAGATCAAAATGAAATAGCAGGCCACATAAAATCAGTCAGGTAATATATCGTTGAATGTTTCCTTGCTGTCTGCAATAACAACCATAGATTGAAAGGTACCGACAAACGAACAAAAAATAATTCGACCTGTTCGTCTCCACAGGGAGTAGATATCTCTAGGTATATCTGAAGGTTATTTCCTTTCTTAACAAACAATAGCATCAAAGTGAGAGATGTCTTTTTTGCACTTGTTTAAACGCACTTATAAAAGATGGAAGATCTCTTGGAAAAAATTATTTTTTTTCAAAACGAATATTACCCAAACTATAAAAAATAGGAAAACCTTGTAAATAAAAATTGAATAGTTTAATAGTACTCTTTAAAATGGTAATATAATTCTTTTTATTTTTTAATACACCTTTATCACATGATATTTTCTTCAAAATCTTGAAAATTTGTATTACTAGTTAATTATTTTATTATAAATTTAACAATATATATTTATTTTCTAAAAAATCATTTTTGAGAATTAATTACAAATGCCTGCATTTATACTATCCGTATTATGTCTGTTCAAGCGCTCTTCACGCAACTTTTGCATGATACGAAATGACGATAAAAACAAAGATATTTCAAATAATTTTGTACATGATGGGTCACAAAAGTTCTTATCATACACAATAAAATAGCAAGGTCATTGTATATAGAAAGGTATAAAAACAAATAGAAATAATTCAACAATCATATACAAAATGACGCAGGATTTTACTGTGTAATATCGGATTAACAATTTTTAAATATGGAATGATCGCGATGTTGTTGAAAGTCCGGTTATTCTTTTAGCTAAATATTTCCATCAAAGTATCTATGTGAAGGTTAATTTTTCTTTCTAAAGTTCTTTTTAAAGACGGAGAGGCGTCAAATGGCTCACTACTTGGTGCAATATTAACTTGCGATCTGTAAACTCGAGTTTAATTTCAAATTTGCGCCCAAACGTGGTTTTTTGCGTTTAAGGAGTCGAAATGGCTTGGTGATAAAGAGATTTATGGTCACTAGTACTGTTCGAATTTAGTGTTAAACGGTCCGATATATTAAACAGGTTCTATATATATAGATATATGTATATCTTTATCCCCCAGACCGGGGGTTGGACATTGGGTTGACAACCTAAGTCCGGAAAAAGAATCCATTGTTCAAGAACTTCAATACTGAGGGTCGGAAGACATCGTAGAACGTTATATATTTTCAAACCAAATTAGATAGCGAAGTAGGCGGAGTAAACATATACGTACAGGGATAATCGGTTTAGGCAGCAGTGTTGCCAATAGTTCTTTTATATTCTTTCCCGCTAGCAACGTCTCTGTTACAAAATGAATATTCGCATTTCAGTGAATGAGATGAGAAGTAAAAGAGTATAAATCAGATTGGTGACAGCATTTGTGAGAACATTTCTACTTTCTTCGAAATTTTACGCCGTTTATGAGATATAAATAGTCTCTTACGATCAATTCAAGGTATGTACAACACATTTAAAGAAATCAAAGTAAAATAGACGGTATCACGCGTAAAATTTTTTTTTTATTGCCAGTTTTCGAGAAAAGTATTTGGATAATAATATCGAAAATTGTTTAGTATTAAAGCAGAATGTACATATCGGAAATTCTATAGTTAATATACTATTGTTCGAATTCTATAATTAATAATTATTTTTAATATTTTTTATAATTTTGTAAATATAATTTTGTTCTTAATCATATAAACAATAAAAAGGGCGATGTGAGAGTCAAATCAAGATTAAATTGTAGAAATGTTGACATATTTAATTTAAAACATTTACTTGTCTTCCCGCTCAATTTGCAATGATCCGTCTTGTCAGTCATTGTTAACAATATTTCATCAGCACTTTATATACCTATAATGTTATATTATTACATAAACCGGAACGTTTTATTAATTTTAAATTTACTAACTATTGTAAGTAAATCTTCTTTTTACTTTTAACTATATTTATATCATTATAAAACTTTGTTATTAATGTTCATAGAAATAGTTATTAACAATGATATATATGTCTTCAATAATTCTATTCATCAAACATTCACAAGTCTGAGGAGGACTCTATTCAGAGTCGAAACTAGTCACGTCATCTTTACATCATTTAAGTAGAATTTAAGTAGATATATTTTTTGTAATCTTATTTTTTAATAATTATGTATTCGTAGTTTTAAATTAAATATGTCAACATTTCTACAATTTAATCTTGATTTGACTCTCACGTCGCCCTTTATTGTTTAAGATTATTGTTTATATGGAGAGCCCTTGTTATTTTTTCAATTTAATGTTTGTTCTTAATATTTATAAATATTCATTAAACTTATAATTATTAGAACTATTTAATCTACCATTTCCGTCTGATGTTATTATTAATTAAAAAAAATAATTTACATGATAAGGTCTTTATCGTCCATTTTCTAGTGATAATGTTTATGTTTCTGAGTAGCATAAGTTGATTATTTAAAGGCTGCTTTTACTCTTAACGAGCAATTATAATAATGTATCGTATAATTATAAGCGCGCAACTATAAAAAATATTATTTGCTACCATAAATTTTCATATTATTTTAAAGAATCTGATAGAATAGGTCTTTTTGTGAAGTTACCATCTCATTTTCAAAAATCAAAAATTTTAATAGCAATTCTGCTTGCACCCGCAATAGTTCTACAGTTCCTGATAGGTTTCATTAATAGCTCTGTTAATGTAGATCAAAAATTTTTAAAAATAAGGATATGCTAACATCACGTGGCACCACAAGGTTTGAGAAAGTCGATTTTTATGACGGAATCTTATAGTTCTCGAAGAGTTCTATAGTTCCTGATCAATTTTAACAACAGTTTCGGCCATTAAATATTTTTAAATAATGTGACCAGCATGTTTTCTTTCTTGACTTTACGTTATCTGACTTACAATTAGTTAGGATTATTGTGACAGATCTGCAAATTCGCTTATTTTATAA